CAGCAGATTCATTCCCTTCCTCCCTGCCTCACACTGAGTTCCCCAACCTGTTGCCTCAGGCAGTCCTTCCCCATCTTACAAAAGCAAAATACCCTGTCCCAATCTCAGGAATATTTTGGGAATAGATCATTGCTGTCACAATCTGCTTTGGTGATAAATATCTGTTTGAATGGATGAGGCAAAGTTTGAAAGAGCAAGTTTTTAATCTAAAGTAGGGGAGAGCAAAGTCACCAACCCTGCACCTTTTTTCCCCCTGTGCAGGAGGATTCAATCAGGTCACATTCTGTCACCCCACAGGATGCTGGGAGCTGAGCAATTCTTTAAACATCCCTCCAGCTCAGCATGGACCATCCAGAATAGTCTGGGATCTGCCATCTCTTGAGGCAGGAATTGGATTTTATCAGGCTCACTGCAACAATCAATCCCAGCTTATCTGTGCCTTCAGCATCTCCCAGCTACTCACTAAATAATTCCTTAAACACCCCACTTTGCTTCAGAGATGATCCAAGACTGGCAGCATAACTATCTGCCCTAAAAATAAAGTTTTTATTAACTGTGTAATACATTTATAGCAGAGGAAAACAATGACATGACCTCTGTGAAAACACCTCTTCCATTTTCAGGGTCAAGCATTTACCACATGAGGAAAACTAGATTGGCTTGCAGAAAATAAGTGATTGGACAATTAAAAAAAAAGCTTTGATGTTCTTGGGCTTAAAAGAAAGACCACAGACAAGACTAAAATCAGTTTTTAACCTGCAGCTGGAATGTAAAACCATGGTGCTGGAAAGAAATAATTGCCATCTCCAGAGGGTATTGAATCAAAATTGTCTAACTGCTGATAGAAAAACAGATTTGCACATGAAAATTAGGTCAAAGTCTTCATTGGCAGGTTGGGCTCTGTTTAGATTTGTTCCTTCTCAGATTTCCTTTTCAAACCTCTTACACCAGAATGTCCTGAACATCCACCTTTGCATCAAAGGGAAGGAAAGGTCAAATTGGGGAATTTGTGATGAACCTGAGCTAGAAACAGGACTGGGAAAGCGGAGGCAGGAACAGAATTTGGAGGAGTAACCCTGAAGGAAGAGAACATCCATCATCTTTGTATCAAAAGGAAGGAAAGGTCCAACTGGGGAATTTGTGATGAACCTGAGCAAGCAGGACTGGGAAAGAGGAGGCAGGAACAGGATTTGGAGGATTAACCCTGAAGGAAGAAAAGAAGGTTCTTTACCGCTCTGCCAGCTCCCAATCCTCTTGGATCTGCTTCTGCCTGGCCTTGTGGTATTCCTCCCTCCAGCACTTGGAGCAGAAGCCCTGCCAGGCAGGGTTGCCATAGTACCCACAGCCCTTCTTGCACAGCAGCTCCGACTGATCCACGTGGATCCCCCTGCGCTCCGACTTCAGGTTCATCTTCCTCCTGAGGAAGAGGAGAAGGGTTAAAATCACAAACCCCAGAGCAGCCTGCAGGAAATCATTGCTTCTGAGGGGTTTGCCTTCAGAAAGGAGTCACCTGCTTGAATCATTGAACAGATCCATAGCAACGGAATGAGGGGAGGGAGGGCACGGTTACATAACCAGGAGCCCCAAAGCCAGGGGACAAAGGGGACAGCTCTGTAGGGCTGTGACCCTCACACAGGCCCAGGGTGTGCCCTGGGGAACCAGTGACAGCCCCACAGGCAGGGGACAAACTGACAGAGGCACACCTTTGCAGTGACAGTCCCACAGGCTTTGTCCCCACAGGGGACAAATTGCCAAGGCACATCTTTGTAGGGCTGTCACCCTCACACAGGTCCAGAAAATGGTCCAGAAAAAGTCCCACAGCCAGGGGACAAACTGCCAAAGGCACACCTTGGCAGTGACAGTCCCACAGGCAGGGGACAAAGGCCTCAGACACTCTCTGAAGGGCTGTGACCCTCACACAGCTCCAGAAAATGGACCAGGGAACCAGTGACAGTCCCACAGCCAGGGGACAAATTGCCAAGGCACACTTTTAGGTTTGTGACCCTCACACAGCTCCAGAAAATGGCTCAGGGCAGAACTCACAGTCCCACAGCCAGGGCACAAATTGACATAGGCACACCTTTGTAGGGCTGTGACCCTCACACAGGACCAGAAAATGGTCCAGAAAAAGTCCCACAGCCAGGGGACAAACTGACAGAGGCACACCGTGGCAGTGACAGTCCCACAGCCAGGGGACAAACTGACAGAGGCACACCTTGGCAGTGACAGTCCCACAGCCAGGGGACAAATTGACACAGGCACATCTTTGCAGTGACAGTCCCACAGGCAGGGGACAAAGGCCCCAGACACTCTTTGGAGAGCTGTGACCCTCACACAGGACCAGAAAATGGACCAGGGAACCAGTGACAGTCCCACAGGCAGGGGACAAATTGACACAGGCACACCTTTGTAGGGCTGTGACCCTCACACAGGTCCAGAAAATGGCCCAGAAAAAGTCCCACAGGCAGGGGACAAAGGCCCCAGACACTCTTTGGAGAGCTGTGACCCTCACACAGCTTCAGAAAATGGACCAGGGAACCAGTGACAGTCCCACAGGCAGGGGACAAATTGCCAAGGCACACTTTTAGGGTTGTGACCCTCACACAGCTCCAGAAAATGGCTCAGGGCAGAACTGACAGTGTCACAGCCAGGGGACAAACTGACAGAGGCACACCTTGGCAGTGACAGTCCCACAGGCAGGGGACAAAGGCCTCAGACACTCTCTGAAGGGCTGTGACCCTCACACAGGACCAGAAAATGGACGAGGGAAGCAGTGACAGTCCCACAGGCAGGGGACAAATTGCCAAGGCACACTTTTAGGTTTGTGACCCTCACACAGGTCCAGGAAATGGCTCAGGGCAGAACTGACAGTCCCACAGCCAGGGCACAAATTGACATAGGCACACCTTTGCAGTGACAGTCCCACAGGCAGGGGACAAAGGCACATCTTTTAGGGCTGGGACCCTCACACAGTTCCAGAAAATGGTCCAGAAAAAGCCCCACAGGCAGGGGACAAATTGACACAGGCACATCTTTGTAGGGCTGTGACCCTCACACAGGTCCAAAGAGTGCCCCAGGGAACCAGTGACAGTCCCACAGCCAGGGGACAAATTGCCATGGCACACCTTTGCAGTGACAGTCCCACAGCCAGGGGACAAAGGCCCCAGACACTCTTTGAAGGGCTGTGACCCTCACACAGGACCAGAAAATGGTCCAGAAAAAGCCCCACAGCCAGGGGACAAACTGACAGAGGCACACCTTGGCAGTGACAGTCCCACAGCCAGGGGACAGATTGCCAAGGCACACTTTTAGGTTTGTGACCCTCACACAGGTCCAGAAAATGGCTCAGGGCAGAACTGACAGTCCCACAGCCAGGGGACAAACTGACACAGGCACATCTTTGTAGGGCTGTGACCCTCACACAGGTCCAGAAAAAGCCCCACAGGCAGGGGACAAACTGACAGAGGCACACCTTGGCAGGGACAGTCCCACAGCCCCAGGCTCTGCTCTCACCAGCACCTTGCTCTCAGAGCCAACACACAAAGCAATGGGGAAAAAAAAAGAAAAGGTTGCAAACAGCAGCAAAGGGAGCAGACAGAATGCACTGTGTGAATGAATGAATGAATGAACAGAATGCATTCTGCCTGCACAGAGCCACTCTGGGGAGGCTTCAGGGACTCTGGCCCCAAAAGGTGAAGGTGTACATCTTAAAATCTTGATTTTTTTTTTTTTGCATTATTGGCAAATAAGGAAATAGAATTGGCACAGCAAGGTTTTGTCCAGTAAATGCAGCCCCTTTTCCTTCCTGCCATGTAGGGAAAGCAAGAGGAAAAAGGGATTTTCTCAAACTGAAGAACATCAGGCAATG